GGCACCTTATCTCGCACTGCCACCTGTGCCGTACGAGAACCTTACAACACTAAAATGTACCTGCGTATGTTGGCCTTTACATGGCGCATGCTTCCGACGGTTGGAGTAAGCGGCAGGCGACCTTACGACAGTGTTACAAGATTTCAGTATATGAGGGAGAGGCTATGCCTCCTTGCACGCCATCATATGTTGCTGCGGGATGAGGACATCCGAAACTTGAACCTGGCTAACACATTCAATATTCAGACCCGTCACCCCGCGCCAGGGTCAAAGCTGGCGTCGGGGCTTGTCTTCTGCATCACACGTGGAAAGATAAACCATAAAGGTGTCGAACTCTATGCGACAGCTTATCGACATAAGCTGTTCTTAAGGTGCACCGTGGGCGGGTTTGCATTTTATATGCTAGAACGGTTCCAGGTAAATGATGCCGTCAGTCTTGACGCGAGCGTATGATTTTTTCTCATTCAATTACACGAAGTGACATATATCCTTATTTTTTTTTTTTCCCTATTGTAGGTGTTCAAGGAGCCTCTTCCCAATTTTGCGGACCCTGACGAGTGGTACAGCATCAAGGTGCTAACAGGGGGTGGAACAAGCCAAGAACGGTTAGAGAACCGAAAGGAAGCGCTTGTTGGCCGAACCCAAATGAGCACTACGGCGGCTGTAATGCGTGCCTGCGACGTGCATTCGGCCAAAATTACGCACTCTGGCCGACATGCAGGGGTCTCGGAAGCCTACGAAAGAGGCTTAAGCCTGGACGATATTCGCCACTTGGGAAGGTGGGTCATGGGGCAAATGGAGAACTTCTATGCTCCAAAAAACCCAACCAGGGGCGCTTTTTGTATGGCTCAGTTTGGACCGAATGAGCCTTACTTTATCGAGCGTGATTTGGTCACCCCGCCCTTAGAGCTCCAGCGTCTGGTCTTTCCTTGGATTGAGGAAAATTTTGATAAAGATATGCCGGAGAGAGCTGACTCCTGGAGAGAGGAGTGCACCAAAGAAATGCTGGGGGTCGATCCAAATGTCCCGACAGACGAAGACATTTTTTGGACGCCAATCGAGAAGAAGACGAGCTCGAAACGATTGACCCGTGCCTTCAGCACTGACTCCCTTGTTACACGCATTGGGTTCCTCAAACTTCTTGTGCGTATGAGGCGAGTAATCCTTCAGGATGCAGTGCTCTTTTTGAAGCCGAACGACAAGGGGAAAATGTTGGAGAACAAACTCCTCGAATCGTTACCAGAAATCTTTGGTTGCCAGCTCTTTCTGGATTTCCAACATCAATTGCTTCGGGCCATCGACGTACATCGCCGACAAGCAGGCATCATCCAAGCGGATGTGCCAGTTAATGCGCAAACTATGGTAAGCGCCATTAACACGTTGTCGGTAGAGGCGCGGGTCTTTCATCAACTCCAGCATGAGACGGTCCAGAAGCTCGAGGCCCTATCCACTCTTGTGACAGAGCAACAGGAGCAACAGAGGCAGCAACAGGAGCAACAGAGGCAGCAACAGGAGCAACAGAGGCAGCAACAGGAGCAAATCCACTTACTTCTCCAATCGCTGCAGCAGCAACAAAGCGCAAATGTGCGGCAGCCTTTTCCATATCATGTGCAGTCTTGCCCGCCCTTTGTGTTTAATCCTTCTCCATTGGCGCCAGCACAGAGCCGCCTAGCTTCTTTTCCTTCGTTTCCTCAGGCTCCTACTACGCAGGGCCTATATCAAGCTCGCCAGGCCGCTCCACCGCAACAGCAGCCATTATTTTCCAACCAATTGCCACCATGTCCTCAGCAACAGCATCCATATCAACATAGCCATGTGCAGGCTCCAATGACCTCAGAGCAGACACAACGATTGCCGGAAGATGAAAGGTATAAAGGCTACCTCATGAAAGGCGATGGCAAGCAATTGACGGTCAGGGAAGCATGGGATGAATTCCGTGGGCCCGTTGCTCAGGCAAAGCAGGAAAATCACAAATGGCCATTCACAGAGGCGCGTCACAAGGCATTCAGGCGCAGGCGTCAATTTTTCGATCTGATAAAGAATATTGCCGAAAAACAGAAGCGAGACTTCGAAGAGGTAGTAGACGCACTGACAGCTCAGTACAAGGGTCGGACAATCAATTCCATTCGACTAGAGCTTCTGAAAGACACCGGGAATGACGAAGGCTGCCACCAAGATGCGGACGAGTAGATGAGTAAGGGTAAATTTTTTTTTTCTTTTTTTTTTTTTATATACATATATATATCCTCGGATACAAATTTAAGCAATAAAGCACAAAGTAGTGATGGTGTCGGAAATACCAAGACATGAACTGAGCTACAAGAGGCAGAAAACTATTTGCTGCATCCTTGAGCCAAATGAGGCTGAGAAAATACAATGTACAAGCAATCCATTGTCGTGAAATTTGTGATATTCCAAGGTGTTTAGCATAAGTATCATCCAGGAAAAAGCATTATCGTCAACATTATTAACAAGACAAAACACCATCAAAGCGCTATCAAAGCATTTTTGACTCGACTCGGCTACCAACGCACTATAACAGAAATAATTGAATACTTCATCAATATAAAAACTGTCATGTTTAATCATTAACACTGTCTCTACCATAAAAAGATTTTGTCTATTTCGCTTCACAAATCCATTTTGTGGAAAAAGATTTGTGAAGCGAAATATAAAAATTTTGTGACTTGGTATCCTTCTGTGTCCACCTGTGTCCGCCTGTGTCCATCTGAATGGACACAGGTGAGCAATTTCGTTTCACAATCTATTTGACAACCCGGGTTGTCACTCTTATTTGACAACCCCCCCCTTAATTATTTTTCTCAATTTTTTTTCTTTGCGTGACAACCCGGGTTGCCAAATAGTAAAATATCTAATTTGACAACCCCAAGCTCACTATTATTTGACAACCCTTTTTTTATTGGCAAGATTATTATGTGAAAATCGTTTCTATTGCTATCCCTCAGCAACACGAAATCCCTCCAGCAATCTAAAAGCTTCCATCAAATAACAAACTTTTTTTTTTTTGGTTACGAGGTGTTGTTTTTTTATTACAACTGATTTCTAAAACAAGGGTTTGCTTTTATAGAAAATGTGCCTATACGGGTAACATGCACTAAGGGGTTTTTTTGGATATATAAGCATGCATAAATTCGGAGTGGTTATGCGACGCTTGATGGCGCATGCGTAAGACGCGGAAAGGAAAAAAAAGAGAGACAGAAGAAGCTATAACCACAGTCATGATAATGGAGTGTTGCCACCATTTTAGAAATCCAGCTGAGAAAGGTCCTCCATAAGTACAAGAGGGTGAAGACTTGTCATGTGACAGGTTGAAAAAGACAGTTTTTCTTCTTTTTTTGACAACCCGGGTTGTCAAATGACAAAAAAGTGAAAATTGAAGACCTGGGTTGCCAAATAAGCCGGTGTGACTGCTAAATTAGGGGGGGGGTTGTCAAATAAGAGTGACAACCCGGGTTGTCAAATAGATTCACCCGTTTTTTTATATTTTTCCAAGTCTTGCACCATATACCAATGCATGTTAGAGCCTGATTCACGGCTTCTACCAAAGATAAAAGCAAATACACCAGAGAATATCATTGTAAGAAAGCAATCTATGAAGATCCTGACACTGGTGCTACCTGTGAGTGCACTCGGGACGAATCAAGAGACTCAAGGTTTCACTGCATTTGCGGAAATTCATACAAAGTCCACTCATCCCTCATACGCCACTTTCAGACTAAGAAGTGCGAGCACCTAAAAACTTTGGTTAAAGGGAAAGATACATTCGAGGACGATTACTTTGTACTAAGATACAAATTAGATAAAAAGAGAGCCTTCAACGATGATAAGAACAGTGGCAACGCGCTAAAAGAAATAAAAGAAATAAAAGAAACGTTACAAGCAGTTCTGCAAGAGCTTAGACTTATATTCGAGAAGAAAATCAAGGTATATTTATATATATTATACCGGTGATTGATTCAACTGAGAATCTTTTAACTATGATCCAAACAAACCTAATGCGTGTCTTTAAATATCAATAGACATTAAAGCTGGATACGAAGAGCTCAAAGCTGAACACGAAGGTTTGTAGCCGCTGCAATCATAAACAGTCTCCACCATCTCCCACTTGTATAAAAACTGTACCCTAACACGAAATAGCATTGTCATTGGTTGTTTAATAACGCTCTTTGCCTTTGTTCTATAACATAATATAAATATAGATATTATAAATTCAACTAAATATCTTAGAAGCAGTTATACAGCGTTGGAAAAGAAAATCAAATCCTTTTAAATCAAAGAAGTAAGGATCCAAGTTTGTCGCTCTTTTGATTATGATTTTTTAAGTATGAGTAGTTTTCTTAACAAGTGTCTTGCAATTGAAAAGGTCTAAGAATAAAAAAATTAAACGGACTCAAGACGCTGGTACTTCTAAAGGTCCTCAAGAAGCCAATACTGAAGAGTCTAAACCGTATCTGCTCAATTATTTTATTACATCGAAGGCGGTGAAGGAAAAGGTGATGTGAAGGGAAGCGTTGCGAAGGAAGAGGACGATGAGGAGTATCCATTCGGCCCTCTGAGTGACCCTGGGCGAGGATCTGTGCGAGGATGAAGGAAAAAATAATTTTGCCTTGACAGAATTGTATTTCAAACCACTAAGAACAATAGTCCTCGCCAGAAAGTCGTCGACTAATATATTTCTAAAAAAACTGTCTGAATCAAATCTAATCAAAAACGATGACTGAATTGAAATGAAGGTTATTTTATCCAATTTAAAAATCTTGAAAATACATGTATTTATCGTCGACGACCTTCTGGCGAGTACAAAATGAATCAGAGTGAGATCCTCAAGTCCTGCGGCCTTCTTGCTTCCCCTGGAGCCCACCTCCCTCCTTATATTGAATGCCAATGACATGCTGAAAGGGATGTGAAGTATTTTCTAAAACAAGATCAATAAATTGTTTATTATTGTTGCCAAGCGGAACCTTTATTAAGGTCCTGCCATGATCATCACACAATGTTCTGACCTTATGAATAGAAATGAAAGTGCCCTTGAGGTGTACTTGCAAGCCTCAGTACGTAACAGGGTACATATTGGGAACAATGATGGATTGTAATCAGTAAGTTGAGCAGAGTCATATCCCTCACCAAAGACGGCTGTCTCTCATTTCGAATCGCGAGGCTCGTGCTTCATCTGCCAGCGGATATTACATAACACATTCTCCTACACAAAGCCTCTACTTATATCACCACCAAACATGAATACTCCATACGCCCCACAGATCTTAAGTAATGAATGGTACAAAGGCCAGACTGGAACTAGCTTAGTTTGACCATTGTCTCATTTATCCCCAGTCGAGACAAGCAAAGCTACCATAATTCAGCTCCATGTCGGAATATAGTTACTGAGTTGAAAGTAGTCAATCCGAACCACATCTACGCTGTTGATATGTTCCTGACGACAGAGCGGTTATATGAAGTCCTTCGGACAGTGAACGCTTACGATAGCAGTATCCTCATTAACTTCCCTGAGACAAATTACTACATACTACCGGAAACTCTACGCACGATTCCCCAGGTATGTGCATATTTTGCTCACAGGAACTTTAAAGGTTTAGAGTATCGAGAAACCGTTTGTTAACAATTTCTATCAGCATTAATTTATAGGTGATCAATAACAAGAAGTTTGGCAAGAATCTTGAACGGATGCAAATATGACACAAAAATGTCATACAAAGCGTCAAAGCCTCTTTTGCGGATCGGCTATATGCTAATCTGACTTGGGAGGGCAACCTTTATGAAAAGGCCCTCCATGCGAACTATAATGTTGACGCGAACATCACTCTCTGTTCCTTGATGCCACTTAATGGAGCGAACTGGCTGGATGATGAAAATCGAGGGGATCCTGACTTTTTTCTCTTATGGCTACGGAAATGGAGGGAAATACGTTTTTGTTCCTCCTTCGTGGAGATGGGGTGCCACTATAGCTTCAGCTGCAAAAGGGCATATTGGCAGCAAAAAGGCTAAAAAAGTGCTCGCCATTGTATTCACGGAACAGCATTGTGGTTCATATCGACCTTAAGGCTTGCAATATCGGTATTGGAGACTCATTAGGTCAGAGAACACCCAAGGAGGCGATCGGCGGATTGGTAGCACTACACTACACACAATGACTGAAAGTGGCTATCTCCAACATCTCGTCGATGATAAGATTACCATGGCTGAAGGAGATGAACTCATATCCATCTCTAGCAACTTAATCGAAGAGAGACAGCGCATGCTACAACAACATAGAGCTGAATTTATCACGGATGAAGGATATGAAACTTACGTAAGTTGGTTATCTTGATACTTAGGGAGTACCTCGGATAAAAGTTTCTCGTACTTAGTACTCACCATGGATACTGCTTCCGATACTTCTCGTTTCACCAACCACACTGGCCTTTTCAAAAAAGCTTTCGGAGAGGAAAAGTATTACTCCAGCAATATTGGAAAAGCCAATGGAGATAGAAAAATCTTCTTGGAATCCATCTACATCAACTATAAAGCGTGGGAGAGCATCACTGAAAAACCAACATGGCAAGAAATCCACGCCATCAAAGAACAAGCGAAACAAGCCATCGGATTCGCAATGGTCTAATACAACACATATCAAGCAAATCCAGACGCAGGCAGAGCGTTTACGGAACTTGCCTCCATTGCACAAGCATGAAATAACGAATCAGACATTGGCACGCTTGCTAACTATATGGATAAAGAATCAGGACGACTACAATCCGGAGGACGACGAGGACCAAAGAAATAACAATAACAATGAATATTGAAGCGTATCCAGAAGATAACATTATTGGTCATAATGACCCAGTTGATGATACAGTAGAAAATGACGACAGATGGCGCGAACAGCAAAATAGTGGAGAAAAAAACATTCCAAGATGGTTGGCTATGCGACTTGATATATTTGAAGATAATAAACATTGATCACCTTCACGATCCATTCCCTGAAAGACCTTTTTCCGGATTATTAGCAGAGGCAGCTAATAAAAGTACCGTTGAACTTAATTCTCGTTGTATTCCACACGAGGGTATAAGAACTATGGTTAAACTTTGGACTACAACAGGATTCAAATTAAATTTTTTATCTCTTTCTGAATATCATGATAATGTTGTGCTAAATACTAAATCTCTCGCTGCCCATCTCATCGAAAATGAACTGACCAGTCCAATAAAAAAGGGTTTCGGTAGAAGGGTGGTGCCTTCTGACATAGTTATTTATCATCCTCATTTTTGCATCCCAAAAAACTCCAATGACAAAGAACCCATTATTCGACTTTTTATGATTGTCGTTTCTTAAATAAACACTTACAAGCCCCTCATTTCAGTCTACCATAAGTACCAAAATGCATTGAATCCATAAGACCAACTTCATACACTTTCATATCTGATATTTCCGTAGGATATACACATATCCTCATTCATAAAAACTTTCAAAAATATTTTGGATTCAAATGGAGAGGACCTTATTTTACTTACACCAGAATGCTCTTCGGCTTAAACATTGCTCCATTCATTTTCCAAACATGGCTTGACTCCTACCTCACTTACTTCAAAAAGAACACACCAGAATGCAACATGTTAAAGCATTACCTTGACGATGTCCTTTGCAATAGTCCTTCCCATCACACAAGCTTTTTCTTCAAAAAAACAAAACTTCTTAAACTATACTCTGATCACAAAAGTAACTTTAGTCCTACCAAAACAACCGATCCTTTGAGTATGTCTATGTTGCGTTCCACTGTTCTCGCAAAACTAATTTTGAAGCGGTTGTCTAGATTGGTCACATTCTACATCTTGTTGCACTCACAGCTACAGATATTGGTATTTGTCAAAGCGTAAAACCTAGCGCTTCGACTCCTGCTAGCGGCTCCAGACGGACGAGCCCAATTGGGTTTGAAACGAATGACCTTGCTCATAGCATTAAGACTATCGTCATGTCCATAAAAAACGCCCAGTGATTTAAGCTGGAAGGATTTTAAGAACAAGCACATTGCTGGTTCATTTTTCAGCATGCTTGTTAAAATTTTATTTACACTGCTATCTCAGATATTCACCATTTATTTAAGAGTCTCAAACATCAATAAAAAATTGATTACACACAGCTACAGAATGGATAATGCCAAACACATCAGTTTTGTATATGCACATTACTAAAAAAAAATTGCCAGCCTTAGTCACTCCTCATTGCTTACTCACAAAATAACCTTCTAGTTGAGATTCGCATCTGTTTTGGGAATTTTAGTGTTACCATAGAAATCCTTTATTTTTAATAACAAACGTTAGCTCTTACAACTGATCTTCTTCCGTAATTTTTTCAGGCCAGAGGTAAAGCTATCATAAAATATAATGTTATGGGAGATTTGACCGGTCATTCTGTTTCTGCGTGCAGGTAGGACGCACCTGGCTCTACTGAATAACCTTTCAGAGTTATTGGAAGTAGCCTGGGCACAAAGGTATGCTTATGCAAATGGAGCAATGTAATCCATTGCCCTTATTCCTCTGTCCTGTTGCTCCTTCCAAGAGTAAAAGCATAACGCGCGTTTTTCCGTCGGCGACACTCTTGAAATCCCCACACCATAATATACCACATCAACATGGGTCATCGATTTGTAATATTCTTGGTCCAAAGGAGAAAGTCGATCCCAACATACTCGACCTTTGGCAGCGGCGGCAAACCTTGCTGGTGCTTCTCTGGTCACCTCTGGAGCTTTCTTCCTGAGAGGTTCACCATTGGTTGTCTTCATGTTTTTAATGATGCTCAATGTCGGGTTAAGGAATAGTGATATAACCATAACATCGGGAACGTCATGCACGGGCCACATCGTATTGATAAACTTGTTAAGGTTTCCCAGAACTCCTGTGCCGTCTGTGTGTCATATGAGCGAGAGTCCGGTAGCAACTCTTTCAGCTTCATATACATTTGTGACAGTGTTGGATGATCGGTGCTGCTCACCCATTCAATGAATTTGACTGCATCTGCCATCATATGAATAGTTTCACGGAGAGTTTTAATCTCATCACCATCAAGTAGGTGTCGCTTTGATTCCTTTGCTTTCGACCTTATCTCGCTTCTCTCGGTGGAGTCCATGCGATGGAAAGTGCGAGAAATTGCTTCTAGGGAAAGTAGCACTCTGTTTGCCATCTTGTACTGCGAGTTCCACCTTGTAATGTTCCTCGACAGCAACTTGGCACGCTTGCCTCCCTGTTCTTACTATAAGGCAAGCATCGCCGCGGCATTGCTCCTGAAAAAAAGATGAAATCTCTTGGCACTTGTCCATTAATATCTGTGCAGACTCGCATAGCTCCAAAGACTTATTGATGCAAAGCTGGACCTTATGTGAGGCGCATGCCAACCAGTGCACCCTCCTTGTGATCTTCTCAATAGAGAGCTATTGCTTTTTTGATACCAGAACCTTGGGCTGTTGTTGCGCAAATGAGTCTTTCGCTCATATCCATGTTATTAACAACACCAACTGGAAGGTGAATCGCAAGACTGAAAAAAAAAAAAAAAAAAAAAAAAAAACGTTAGCATAGCAATAATTATGGGAATAAAAAGATAAGAGGCAGATGTATCAGCATTTTACTTACCAGACTTCTGGTAGATATTTTGGGATGATTGCACCCCATAGACTTGTTCCATTCCTATTACAGCAGACACTGGTTCGAAGCTAGGCGTGGAAAGATGCATTGTAGTTCTCAAGAACTCCCCTTTGATCGATGTCTAGCAATCCATCGCGACGGCAGCGTAAAGGTCATAAGAGGCAATGTACTCTTTGATTTCGCGTCTCGTCCCTCGAACCTGTCGATCCATCTTGTCTTGCATAGTCGCTGTGACAGGGATATCGAGATGAGGATTGACCATTTCAATGGCTGCTCTGAAGATCGTTGAATTAATTGCATCGAATGTCACTCTGTTGGAGGCTATGTACAGTAAAAGCATACCCTTGAATACTTCTTGTTCAAGAGGGAGCGGCTTCTTGAGTCTCTCATCAACAATCGCATTTCGTGCGATGTCTAACCTTGCCTTTCTTGGTGGGCGAGGCATGCCAACTTCTTCCGGAGAGGGTGGCGGCATGATACCTTTAACCCCGCCCTGGTAACTGCGGAATTCTTGGAGGGTACTATATAAACCACCATGGCGCTGGGTCAAGTGAACAGATCTTGAATATCCGCTCCCAGTTTTCTTGTATGTAATGCCACAGATCATCCTATCTTTCAAGGTCTGGCACTAGAATTCTTCCTTGGAAAAATGACTGACCACGCTGTTCTTGCGAAAGGATTTTTTTATTTAGAATCAGCGCTAACGCCTTTTTTTGAGAGGGAGGAGCGTCGGAGCATTGTTCTGGCGTTGGAATGGTACCAAAATCCAGTAACTTATAAAAATTATACCATCCATATGGTGCACGATGACTAGCCCTCAGTCCTCTCCGGCGGTCGCCCAATGCTTCAGCGTCAATGGCACGTGTAAAGTTAAGAGAGAGAAGATTAAAAGCTCTTGAGCACGTAGTTAATATTGCGCTGTTGCGCGAAGCTCAATATAGAAATTGATGAGACTGAAGGTGAGCCTGGTTTTGGCCCCCGATATTGGGAGAAGCTGTTGGATGAACGGAGAGATGATAGCGGGGTTTGCCGTGCAGCAAGTAGCCTATGATTATAACGTGATATAGGCGAAACTATTGATGATTGAGAACGTCCAAACGTCCTTAGTCTGGCACGATGAGCCGATTGTGCGGATTCACCGAGGGAGGAGAAGGAGTTTTGGGGACCTCCTCTTTTCACGACTGGATCCAGGAGCGACGCCCACTATGGGTTTCACGGTCGCCTGGGATGAAGGCGGAATTGGGCCCGCACTAAGATAAGAGTCTGGTACCTCAAGCTCAACATCGTATGGTATATCTTGCGCCCCGAACGATTCGCCATAGCAGGCCGCATCACTAGTTTGAGGAGAATCGGTTCTATTTGCTGGGAGACTTTTTTGGAGTTGCATTCTTCGTACGATTTGATTTCGGTGAGGTATAAGGGTCTCTTCCTCGTCCTCGTCTTCTGATAAGAGTGTGTCTTCTATGCCAAATCCACTGTTGCGCTCCTCCTGGTATTCATTCTCATCCCCATCTTCATACTCATACTCTTCCTCATATTCTCCATTCTCATCTTGGTGGAGAGGATCAAATGTATAATCTGTTGCCATTGTTTCTTAAATATTGATTGTGTATGAAAGTAAAACGGATAACAATAAAAAGACGGTAAAGACGATAAAGACAACGTTATAACATTCAATTGATTTTTGGTTTTGTGCAGCATGGAAAACTTTCTGTTCCCCCACCAGCTACAACTAGCACGCTATTTTTGTTTTTTTTTGTGAGGAAGCAATGAAGAGTGACTATGGCTGGCATTTTTTTTTATCGGGTGACTGTAGAGCGGAATAGAGCGTGAATAATATTTTGTAGATAGATAGTAAACAGTAGAAAAGTAAGTGAGAATAAGATATGGGTGCACACACCACACCCATGGGGTATTTATTCATTTTCTGGTAGAGGGGCCTGAACTAGATAACTCCGTATCTATCTGTAAGATGACATCGATTCGTTCTAAAAAATTCATATCAAAGATTTATCGCGTCTATGTGTAACGCGTTATTGCCACTAATTTCTACTGCTAATCTTTTTAGTGAATTAGTGTTTTTTACTCAGTATTTTTCCTAACTTGGTCATCATAATATTACATACTGTGGAATATACAACAGAGCGCGATGAGTATCACAGCTCCCACGGCGCTGCAACTTCCAACAGTAATAACTCAAGACTCCTCTCTACTCTAGACTCAACTTCGCTTATTTCCTTCGAAATAAAAAGCTAGAATGTAGTGTGTAGGATACACGTTGCCGCTTATAGATGAAATAAAGACCTCGTGCAGTGCAAACAAGGTGTGCACGGGGGTCGTACAAATAACCATCTAAATTTTAACAAGGATGCTTAAAAAATGGGATTAATCTATTTGGCAGCCTAGTTGCCGAATATTATTTGGCAGCCCATTGCCAAATATAGTCAACTTTCAAGACTCTCTTTGGCAGCCCAGTTGCCAAATAACATTCATTATTTACTTGGCAGCCTACCCAGCGTTATTTGGCCTCTAACTATTTTTTTTTTTTTTCATTCCTAGGAACCGTATATGTATATAACGCTCGTACTTCAAATTAATAAAGCTCCCGTCTTCTACGTCATAGTTATGTGTAGTGACATTGTCTTGTCTCATTGAAAACTAATGACTTTTTTTTTTCAAGTAGGTCGCTCATACAGTTTTGGAGGTGCCATTTGGAGATCAATGCCTATGAGAGGTTTTCGCTCGGAGCAAACGCGTCTCACCTGCTACCTAGACGTCTTCAATAAATCATTCCCTAACCGTGTACATTGAAGGCTGTTTTGTGAAGATGTCATCGCCGCTGCCCTTAGTACCTCCGGTGGCATTAGCTGTGCAAGGCAATGTATCCACAGAACGCTGCCTGTTTTACCACTGATGTTATGACCCTGTTATCAAAAAAAAAAAAAAAAAAAGGATGAAGTTATTTGCACGGGCCCGTACACCCCTTATTTGTACGGCCCCTGTTGCAAATAAATTTTTACTTATAAAAAAATTTATTTGCACTGCCCCGTACACACTCTATTTACACTGCTCCCCCCGTACAAATAAAAAAAAGCTATTTGCACGGGGTCTCTATTTCATCTACAAGCAGCAACGTGTATCCTACAGACTACATGATTCTGGCTTTATATAAATAAGTGGAGGTGAGTCTAGAGTAGGGAGGAGTGAAATTATTACTGCAGCGCTGTGGGAGCTGCCAA